ACTTCTAAATTAACATTAGACTTCTGAGCATCCCATGTTGATGCTGATACTTGTGAATTTCTCAGCAGGTGGTGATATTGGTATTTTGGGTGGGACAATCCTTTATTGAGTGGGACTGGTTTATCTACTGCAGGATTTAGACTTACTGAATCCTACCACAAAAATGCCATTACTATTCTCTATGGAGACAACTGAAATGCCTACACATATTCCCAAACTCCTTTTAAAACTACTGTGTGGTGCTCAGACACTTTTATATCTCTGTAATTCCATTCACATTAACAGACATTGAGTGCTGACTGTGTGTAAAACACTGTAGGGGTCCCTAGAGATACAGAGAGGAAACAGACACAGTCCCTTTTCCTTCTTTTCTCCTTAATTATTGTCCATACTTTAGGTGCAGTGGTCTTCACCTGTTACGTGTGGCAGTCCTTGAAAATTGAGCAAGATTTGATCCCATTCTCATATGCAATGGTTGTCATTTTCTTAGCACTTTTACTTAAAAATTGTCTTTACTTGTATTCTTGTCATAGTCATATGCTTCTTTTCACTAATTTTTCCAATGCTATCACTGCTTTTGCAAATGCTGTGCATAATGGAGTTAAAAGTTGTGTGTAGAAGACCTTACAAACTAAGCTAAGGCAGCACACACATTAGTAGACCAAGACCAATGTGATGGTTGAAACTAAAATGCGTTGTGCTGGAAGCCAGTGCAGTTGCTGGAATTTATTTAGGAACTTACCTCAAAAGTAATTATCAGAGTTTGAAAACTGAAGTCCAAAAGTGTAGGAGGCCTGTAGTGTTACCCAAAGCAGACCATGGTAGCAATGCTAATGGGGGTTCTTACTGCCACCTGTTGTAACTAAAGGACCTGTCAGGTCTACCAGGGAGTGACTTATATTCAAGAATTCTTTCACCAAGAATGGAAAACTAAGAAGTCCTAATTTCTAATGGAGGTAATCAAAATGCCATCCCTAGGACTTACTTTTAGCATACTAATGTTTGCATGAGAAACACTGACCTTAATAAAAGGTACTATTACTTCATTCAAGCTTTAATTTAAAGGGGACAACAGTAGTCAATGGCAGCTGGCACTATTGACTCAATAAGCGAAGCAAATAATAGATTATTTTTCAACAGGTTTGGTTTATACCAGGAAATATATGCAACTTCTTTGCTAAGGGCAGAGGCAGCTGTGAGATAAATGTATTTAATTAGGACTTACCTCATAATTAGGAAATGAGTTAATGAAAATAAGCAAGTAAAAATTATTATGCATCTGCTTTTTGATTTTATTTACTTAGACTCTTAAAACTTTAAAACTTTTATAATTGCCAAGAATTTTCAAAGATAGTATCTGGAGGATAATGGGAAAGCAGTGTGAGTTGCTCATATACTTTCTAGATATTGTAGTCATAATAAATACTAATTTTGAGCGTAGGCACAATCTTGGTAAAATCACCTGTAATTTAGATGCCAACATCCTTGTGCATAAATAACCACTGGCTGGGCAGCCATGTGACTTTCCCAGTAATATTTGAGTTGCTCATACAGAAACCAATAGCCCCTTGTGGCAGATATTGTTCTTTGTCCCCTTGTATCGAATCTCTCCTTTTTCCTTTCTCTCTTTTGAGAACAGCTTATCTGGAATCCTAATTAATAAAGGATATTCACTTATATTCAATGAGAAATTTATTTTCTTTCTACATATAATTTTTTCCCAGAATTTTTCGAAACAAACCTGGAATGTCAGGGTAAGCTTTGGAAAAAAAAAGGGTCAGTATAGAACCATGGAATTTTGGAAGTTTTGTTTTCTCACGGAGAAAAGATGTCACATTTACATTTTCTCCTCCAGGGACTTAATTCCATTCACATTAACAGACACTGAGTGCCAACTGTGTGTAAAACACTGTAGAAGTCCCTAGAGGTACAGAGAGGAAACAGACACAGTCCCTGCCCTCAAGGAGCTCATAATATACTAGAGAAGACAGCACAAATACACAAACAAATGCGCTAGAAGATAGGATGCATATAATATTAGAGATACAAGTGAAGTTATATGGGAGCATAGAGCTGGGAGAGAGGACTTCCATAGGGACAGGGAAGGAAGAAGTATCTCAGGAAGACTTTTTAGAAGAGATTGCATTTGAGCTACATATGAAGCATTGGTGGAAGAAATGTGAAGCCATGGAGGTCAGGTTTCTAAAGCAATGGGATCAAATGTTAGGGGAGTTTAGAAAGCACAGGTAATATTCACATTTTTCTGGAGCGTGAAGTAGGTGAAAAGAAGTGGTGAGATATAACTCTGCAAAGATAGTTTGGGGTCACAAAGTAAGAGGCCTTGAATGCTATACTATGGACTATTAATTTGTTTTATATTGCTAGGGAAAGAGTAAAGGATTTTGAACAATACAATTAAAAATCTACTGTATGCTCTAAAATAGTGACTCAAACTTTAGCTTGTATCAGAATCTCCTGGAAAGCTTATTAAAACAGAGATTAATGGGCTCCACTCTTAATTTTTGATTCAGTAGGTTTTGAATGGGGCCCTTGATTTTGCATTTCTAACAAGTTCTCAGGTGCCGCTAATGCGGCTAGTCTGGAGATGCCTCAGTGAGAAACTCACACTGGGCGATGTGTGGGGGCCGAGTTGCAGGTGGGAGAATCCAGAGGCAGGTGGATCAAATAACATTTGATCTAGGGGAGAGGACCAACTTATTGGAGAGTAAGGTGGCATAAACACATGTTTCTGTAGAGGTAAATGGACAAGACTTCAGGACTATCTGGATGTTGGAGACCTGAGGCAAAGAGAGAGAATAACATTCATCTAATAGGAATGATAAAAAGCATGGTAATTCTGTTATCTGAGACTGAGAAGGTAGAAAGAGGAGAAGGCTTGAGTGTGGGGAAATTATCCTGAGTTAAGTATAGGAAGGCTGTGTTTGAGGTACCAAAGAAATATTAATAGGGAGAGGCTCACCAGATGTAACTTATCGGTCTGCAGTTTAAGAGAAAGATTAGGACTAAAGTCACAAATTTGGGAGCTACAGGCATGAAACTAACAGTTGAAATGGCCAAAGTTGGGATGGAATATAGAGCTATAGGAGGTGATTGCTGAGGACAAAGCCCCAGGGGGAAGGAAAGGAGACAAAGAATAAAGAGACAAGGAGGTAGTTGGATAACCAGGAGAGCAAAATATCCTGGAAGGTATGGGCTTAAACATGAAAGGGATGGTTAGCTGTTGTAACTGATGAGAGAATGACAGGTAGAGATGCAGAGAAGGGCTACTGGCAAGTCTCCAGTGACCTTTGGGAGATAAGTTTGGGAGAACTAGGGTATACTCAGATGGAAAAGGATAGAAAAGTCAGTGGAAGGTGAGAAGTGGATGCAGAATGAGTGGATTAATGATTGGAGAAACCCAGGTGAGAGAGTTAAGGGAGAGATGAAGTAGGATCTTGATGGGGAAGTAGGGCCAGAGGAAGTTGATTTTTGTGTCCAAGAGATTTGAGTAAAGTAATAGATGAGATTAAAGAGGAGTGGGGAGGAAAAGTGTTGAGATGGAGAGGGAGAAAGGAAGGTGCAGAGGGAGGTTGGGTGTAAGAAGTAAGATTCTAGTAAGGTTGAGAAGGGATTGATTGAAGGACTAAAAACACAGAGGTGGAAAGGAGGCAAATCAATGTCTTCTCCCTACAAAGAAGAGTGAAGAGATGGGGAGAGGCTGTGGATGAGAGACTAGGAGCAGAGGTTGAGAACGGTCACCTACTTAGGAGTAGGTGCAAGAATGTACAAACTTTCAGTCCTCCTGCCCTCACTCTTGACTTTGTAATGGTGTACTCCTCCATGTGACTATAGCAGTCACTCCTTCTCAGGCCACACCCATGGCCTCAGGTCCCATCTGCAGCCTCCTGGTCCCAGGGTAGAGTCTGGCACGGAAGCCACAGTTATTCTGGGAGATACAATTTCATTCTCATATCCCGATGAGTGGCCTTTAGTGTAAACACAGATTTTCAACTTTTACTTTTTTTCTCCAAGAGCACAACTGGTAATTTTTTTTTTTTTTGAGACAGGGTCTCACTCTGTTGCCCAGGCTGGAGTGCAGTGGCACGATCTCTGCTCAGTGCAACCTCTGCCTCCCAGGTTCAAGTGATTCTCCTGCCTCAGCCTCCTGAGTAGCTGGGATTACAGGCACGTGCTACCATGCCTAGCTAATTTTTGCATTTTTAGCAGATATGGGGTTTCACCATGTTGGCCAGGTTGGTCTCGAACTCCTGACCTCAGGTGATGCACCTGCCTCAGCCTTCTGAAGTGCTGGGATTACAGGAATGAGCCACCATGCCCAGCCGCAACTGTTAATTTAATGAGTAATATTCTCCAACGAAGTTCTTCAGATAATATATTCTGTCATTTGATCACTGCACCTCATTAAGCTTCTTAAAAAGTTTTCCAAATTTGACATGTACTCCCACCTTAGCCCTGCTACAGTGAAAGTGTATATGGGAGGCTTAGCTGGGATAGATTTTAGAATTGGAGGAGACCCAATGTGTCTATCAGGTAATATCGCAACACACTGACCAAAGTAGATTTAGATGATTTCTTATTTGCTTTATGTTTTATATTCATAGTAAAAGACGAAAAACTGCCAGTGCATTTATTCCAGGTATTTCCATTTTAGAAAATGAGGAAGTGTATTTAATCATGAACTAAAAAGGACAAGCCAGCTGTACTATTTTTACCTGAAAGGAATAGGCTATGTAGTCACAGTGCTACAGTAAACGACTTTAGCTCAGGTCTGCAAGCAGTAGATGACAGCACATCACTTTCTTTGAATTCTTTACGCAGTCATGCAATTCCTACTGGAATATGTATGCAGATAGAGCCATAATCTCAGATTTAATGCCATAGAGGGCATTATCAGGTATTTAATTTATAAGTAATAAGAAATTCTGCAAATAAAGATATTTTTGGCATTCTTTAATTGCAGGGTAACTGAAATGACTAGGAAAAACCAAGCCCATAAAAAGTATTTACTATTTCACCTTATTATTACTTCTACAAAATTTATGTTTTTGTATGATAATGTTTATTTGAAATTATGTATCACAGATAAGACCAGAGGTAGAAAACAGCACGCCAAGTAACAATCCTCAAACAAAACAGAACAAAACAAACAAACAAACAAACAAGAAAACAAGACCACACATACTTACAAACTCTCCTGAACCAAGTATGTCCAAGAATTAATAAGTTGCACCCCTTACCCCCATCCACTCATGAGGCTCTGGTAAAAGTCGTGCCTTTTAGCTTTTGACAGTCTAAGCATGCTCTCGGCATCTAATGAGCTTTTTAAAAGCCAGCTTAAAATCTTCATTAAAACTCGTATAGAGCAGAGGGTTGATCAGAGAATTGACATAACCGAGCCACGTCAGAAAATCGGCCACTTCTGAGGACACGGTGTAGATGCTCAGACCCACAATCAACTCTTTGATGAAAAATGGCAGCCAGGACAAAATGAATGCGCTCAGAATCAACCCCAGGATGCGCGCTGCCTTCCGTTCCCTGGTGCTAGAAATCTGCTGGCGTTCTCCTGGGTGATCTAGATCATTGTCGAAGGGTGGGATCCTGATGGAGGCATGGAACTTTTCAAACTCTGTGGTAGGGTCTGAAGTGGAGAAGTCAGACACACAGAAAGTCTGTGTAAGTTTACAATTTGCAAAAGAATTCTGGCTATCTGTGCTTCTGTTGCTTAAGTGCCGACTCGATCCCCTTTTCTGGTAAAGGCTCTTGGCCGCGTGGTAAATCCGGTAATAGAGAATCAGTATTAAAGTCAAGGGGATATAAAACGCACCCAGCGTGGAGTAAATGGTGTAGATCACATGGTCGTGCTGGATGGTGCACTGGCTAGGGGGAGGGCTTAGGCGGCGGTGGCTCCTCCAGAACAGAGGGGGCATGGAGATGAAAATGGAGATGGTCCAGACGGTGAGGATCATCAGCGCCGCCCTCTTGGCCGTCCTCTTCCTGGCGTATTCAATAGCATTGGTGATGGCCCAGTATCTGTCCAGGGCAATGACACAGAGGTGGAGGATGGAGCAGGTGCAGCAGGTCATGTCCACACTCAGCCACACCTCACAGAGGAAGTATCCAAGCTTCCAGCGGTCCATGACAATGTATATGATGCTCAGGGGCATGACGAGCACGGCTACCAGGAGGTCCGTCACGGCCAGAGAACAGATTAGGTAGTTGGCAGGCTGGTGGAGCTTCTTGGTGGTGCAGATAGCCATGATCACCGCCAAGTTCAGCAACGTGGTGAGGGTGGTGATGACCACCAGAGTCATGCAAATGAGCATCTTTTCAGTGATGGTCTTGGGCCTCACAGCCATGCCGGCTTCTGTGGTACAGTTTGTGATGTTCATGTTTTCCCTGTTTCAGTGTACACTGTGGAGAAGCGGTTGGTTATTTTTCTTTGGCTGAAAACTACGTAGCCTCGAAGGTTTCTCACTTGTAAGGAGGCTGTAATTTGTTCAGCTATGTGGTCTCTTGTGTTCCATTTTCTGTTGGTAAAGGGAAGGGCCACAGCATTTCTTCTGAGTGAAGGTTCCTGGAAAATATTATGCTATTGGTTAATGAATGAGAAAGCCACACTTTTCCTGGAAAACATGAAAATAGTTTGATATTTATACATTCTTTATAAATTTTAATTTTCTCTTTCCTGTGGAACTTGAGCTCATCTTTACATTGTTCCTCAAAGGATACTTTTTCACTTTGGGGAAGTTTTCAAACTGTTTTTTTTTTTTTTTTTAAATTATATTTTAAGTTCTGGGATACATGTGCAGAACTTGCAGGTTTGTTACATAGGTATACACGTGCCATGGTGGTTTGCTGCATCCATCAACCAATCATCTACATTAGGTATTTCTCCAATGCCATCCCTCCCCTAGCCCTTCACCCCTCAAAAGGCCCTGGTGTGTGATGTTCCCCTCCCTGTGTCCCTGTATTCTCTTTGTTCAACTCCCACTTATAAGTGAGAACATACGGTGTTTGGTTTTCTGTTCCTGCGTTAGTTTGTTGAGAATTATGGTTTCCAGCTTCATCCATATCCCTGCAAAGGACATGAACTCATCCTTTTTTATGACTATGTAGTATTCCATGGTGTATATGTGCCACATTTTCTTTATCCAGTCTATCATTGATGGGCATTTGGGTTGGTTCCAAGTCTTTGCTATTGTAAACAGTGCTGGAGTAAACATATGTGTGCATGGGTGTTTATAGTAGAATGACTTATAATCCTTTGGGTACATACCCAGTAATGGGAATGCTGGGTCAAATGGTATTTCCGGTTCTAGATCACCTGAGGAATCACCACACTGTCTTCCACAATGGTTGAACTAATTTACATTCCCACCAACAGTGTAAAAGCATTCCTATTTCTCCACATCCTCTCCAGTGTCTGTTGTTTCCTGACTTTTTTTTTTATTATTATACTTTAAGTTCTAGGGTACATGTGCACAACGTGCAGGTGTATTAAATATGTGTACATGTGCCGCGTTGGTTTGCTGCACCCATTAACTTGTCATTTACGTTAGGTATTTCTCTAAATGCTATCCCTCCCCCATACCCCCACCCCACAACAGGCCCCAGTGTGTGATGTTCCCTGCCCTGTGTCCAAGTGTTCTCATTGTTCAATTCCCACCTATGAGTGAGAACATGCAGTGTTTGGTTTTTCTGTCCTTGCGATAGTTTGCTCAGAATGATAACTTTTTAATGACTGCCATTCTGACTGGCCTGAGATGGTATCTCATGGTGGTTTTGATTTACATTTCTCTAATGACAGTGATGATGAGCTTTTTTTCATATGTTTGTTGGCTGCATAAATGTTTTCTTTTGAGAATTGTCTGTTCATATCCTTTGCCTGCTTTTTGATGGGGTTGTTTGTTTTGTTCTTGTAAATTTGTTCAAAGCATTTTTGACAAAAACATCACAAAATTTTAAATGTACTTTGCCACCCCAATTAATTTCTTATTATATTTATTCTTTTATACATGTTTATATGTAAAAAGGCTTTTTTTTTGCATTTGAAATATGTATTCATATTATGTAACATTAAAAATTCTGGGATCATTACATTAAAGAAAAAATTATATTGCTTATAAGAAGCAGCTTTCAAATTAGATTTTAAACTTTCACAGTAAATAGGCTGGGTGTGGTGGCTCACACCTGTAATCCCAGCACTTTGGGAGTTTGAGGTGGGCAGATCACCTGAGGTCAGGAGTTTGAGACTAGCCTGGCCAACATGGCGAAACCTCATCTTTACTAAAAGTACAAAAATTACCTAGGTGTGTGGTGGCACACACTTTTAGTCCCAGCTACTTGGGAGATTGAGGCATGAGAATCGCTTGAACCTGGGAGACGGAGGTTTCAGTGAGCCAACATTGTGCAAATGTACTCTAGCTGGGTGACAGAGTGAGACTGTCTCAAAAACAAAAACAAAAACAAAACTTTCACAGTAAATATTAAAATCCAAAGGTATGTAAGTGTCACAGTGGGATTACACAACTTTGTCTAATTATTTCTAACATTTTACGCATCATACTGTTCTATTTTTCTTTGGAGAAAAGCATATAACATTACATTGATATTTGTGGAAAATTATTCTCTGAGTAATACAATAAATCAACTGTGAAACAGCATCATCACCAAACTAAAGATGTCTCTATTAAAAAAAGTATTTTGTTTTACTTGACATTTGTGGCTGTCCTTCCCTTCCCTTCCCTTCCCTTCCCTTCCCTTCCTTTCCCTTCCCTTCCCTCCCTCCCTCTCTTCTTTCCTTCCTTCCTTCCTTCCTTCCTTCCTTCCTTCCTTCCTTCCTTCC